ACCAGATCTGTAAAACATTTACATTAAACCAGATCTGTAAAACATTTACATTAAACCAGATCTATAAAACGTTTACATTAAACCAGATCTATAAAACATTTACATTAAACCAGATCTATAAAACATTTACATTAAACCAGATCTATAAAACGTTTACATTAAACCAGATCTATCAAACGTTTACATTAAACCAGATCCGTAAAGAGTTCACTTCTAGCTTACATTATATATAAAAATTCAGTTTTTCTGTTTCAGAAAAGGACATGAAGATAACGTCATGCAAACAAAACACTGAGTTGAGGATTAATGTTTAGTCTCTGATCAGATAATAATTAGAATATTTGTGGATTAATATCCTGCTGTTTAGTTGTTCAGTTTAGAAATTAAAATACCAGTGATTGTTTAAACAGTTGCGTCATTACTACGAATAAATAAAACTGTCCCAACTGTGCACCCATAAACTACCAAAAACTACGATTTTGTGTTTTCTCTTGTATTATGTCTTTTTTATATTTTTTTTTCTGTTTGCTGGTAAAACAAGAGGACATTAGTAAACTGTTAAAAGTTATCTTCTATCTAATTATCCAGTTTGTGTCCTGAGCTCTGCAAGGACACAAATACTGACAGTGAAAGAACTGGAACAATTTGACTGTTTTCATCCGAGGAGCTTTTACAAGTCATGAAAAGTTTTGTCGTGTAACGGAGGTGCTCTGTTTGTACAGCTTGTTTTATGCCAGATTAGTCACTAAAACTCTCCCTGAAAGTTTATAGAAAGTTGTGTTTCTCTGAATGCAGGGAGATCACACTGAGTCACAGACGTCACCTGCAGTGACTCATGAGTGTGATTGTGTGAAACAATAAAATATAAACCTGAATTTGCTGTAAATGTTTTTGAAGATTTGAGCATCTTTGGTGTTGTTTTAATGTCAAAATTAGTCACAAAACAGATGCAGTTTGTGGGTTTGTCGTTCTTTCAGTCTGGTTGATCGGATGTTTAATTTCAGCTGAAACACTGAAGCAAACATTTAAACATCTCAGTTTTACTTGATGAAACATGCAGATGCCTCGAGGGCGAAAAACTGACGAGCAGATATGTTTCCGTTTGCTTTTAGGAAAGAGAAAAACTCAGTCGCAGAGAAGGTCTGCAGGTGGAGTGATGCTGTGAATTCATTATCTGCTCGTGAGTTTCTCTGGTCGCAGTTTTGAGTCATCAGGAAGCCTCCACTGGTTTTACTAAACAGCAGCAGGAAACTTGAAACGGGACGAACAAAAGAGAGCGAGGGACGAGCAGCGTCTCGCCTCCGTGCTTCTCCTCCTCCTGTCCGTCGTCCGACTTTCACTCCCACACGCACCGACTGAACTCACTGTTTCATAACTTTGCCGAGTTTTGAGTTGAGCAACTTTGTGCCTGTGCGTGCCGGAGATGCTGCAGCGGCTGTGAGAATGATTCCTGTTCCTCCGGTTTAAAAAAAAAAAAAAAAAGACACAAAAGCAAGGAAGCGCGACGCAACAGGATAATTTCTTTGTTTTGGCCTCATCATTATTTTACTCCAGTTCTACAAACTAAAATTTTAAAAACAGTTTAAATCTTTTAAGCTCAGGTTCAGTGATAAAGCTACGAACAATAAATATCTTACCTGTTGAAGATGTTTGAAAGAGTTCAAAATGGAACACAATTTAAGAAATTGATGGATTTATTTATATTCAATTTATAAATTCATAGATTTTAACAGTTATTTGCAAGCAGTGACAGCAGCGGCAGCTAGCTGTAGCACTCCCAGTGCAGTGCAGACTGTGATCATAAGGAAACGATGACTGACGGCAGCGTAACGGTTCATAAAATGTGAAAGATTTTAACGCTCCTTTCAAAAACAGCAGCAGTTTAGTTTAGCCTTCTCTGCTCAGACTAGCCATTAGCTCCTCAGGTCGGTGAGAAAGAAACGGTTTCATTCATGAATGATTACAACTTTTTGACAGA